GCATTTCCTGTATTGTCATTTCCTGTATTTGCCGCTGAGCCACCAGGAAAGCCCCTCACCATGTGGCTATTTAGGACTAAATTAAAATTAAAAATTCAGTTTCCTCAATCTACTAGCCACATGTTAAGTGCTACCACATTGCACAGTACAGATCTAATGTCTGGATCTCTACAACCTAGACACAACTCTATACAATACTCCGACTACAATCCCTCCAACTTTCTTGCTCCTAGAAAAACCTCATTTCCAATTAAATTCTTTTGCCCACTGTTCCCAACATTCAGTTGTCCACTCTGGATTTCCTATCTGCTTTTCAAACCACTTTCTACTATATTCCAAGCATTTCTCACCTCTTTTTCTTAGCTGGTAGCACTTACATTGGGTACCTACTTAACTTATTCCAGACACTGAAATAAGCATTTTGTTTACATTATATATAAACCTAATAATGTTGTAGATAGATTTTCCTGAGGAAAAGGAATCACAGGAGGATAAGTTAATCCCAGAAGTTCATCCTTTTCCAGACTACTATAAAAAATTCTGCCCTTTTTCAAGGTTCAGCTCAAGGACGCCATTCCTTAAGCTGTGTGTTGTTCCCAAAGCCTCAGTCCAACCCAACAATTTCAAACCTTAGTTTGCCATAATGTAAGCATACACATTCAGAAGTGAATTTATTCTTAAACTAATGGAACTTGAGCATCAGGGAACTTCAACTGCCTGGATTCCTTTCAATACAATACCCTAAACTTAATTTCGATCACACAATTATATATACGCTTACTTATTTATATAATTATATATTATGTATATATAATTTTAAAATCCCCCCAAAAAACTGAATAAACTCCCAAGCCAAAAAAATACATATATATCCCTTGGATAAACCCCAGAACTCTTGAAGCAAGGCCTATCTACACTGGACTCAGCTTACATTTTACCCCTTTATGGACACTCTATCCCTGAGGTCTGTTTTCTCTGGCTCCCAAGACTAGCTGTGAATATGGAGGTCAGCTTCCCCAGTTCTTTACTTTCTAGGTGGCTCTCCAAATAAACACACAACCCATTTTTCTTTTGGGAGTTTCAGAGCTAATCACAAAGGAAAATTAAAACAAACATAGGATAATGACAGAGTCTTATAGCATGATCCAAATTAATCTACAGATTCAACATGATACCAATCAGAATTTCAGTTGCCTTTTTTTCAGAAATGACAAACTGATCCTAAAATTTATATGGATATACAAGAGATACAGAATGGCCAAAACAATCTTGAAAAAGAATAAAGTTGGAGAACTCACACTTCCTGATTTCAAAACATATTGTCAACCTACAGTAATCAGGTCAAGATGTTGCTGGCATAAGAACAGAAATATAGAACAATGGGATAGAACTGAGAGTCCAAAAATAAACTCACACTTACAGTCAAGCAACAAGGGTGTCAACCATTCACAGGGAGACAGAACAGCTTCAACAAATTGTGTTGGGACAAGTAGCTATACACAGGCAAAAGAATGACGCTGAACTTCTACCTCATGCCATCTACAAAAATTAACTCCAAAATGATAATTGTATAAAACTGTTAGAAGAAAACACAGGAGTAAATCTTTATGACATTGGATTAGGCAGTAGTTCCTTAGATGGAACACTAGAAGCAAAAGGGACAAAAGAAAAAATATTAATAAACTGGAAATCAAAAGTAAAACTTTTGTAATCACCATATATACAGAACTCGGACTACTCAACAATAAAAATACAACACAATTTAAAGATGAGCCAAGGAGGGGTTCCCTGGTGGCTCAGTGATAAAGAAGTGTTAGTCACTCAGTCACGTCCGACTCTTAGCGACCCCATGGACTACAGTCCTGTCCAGGCTCCTCTGTCCTTGGAACTCTCCAAGCAAGAAAACTGGACTAGGTTGCCTTTTCCTCCTCCAGGGGATCTTCCTGACCCAGCGATTAAACCTGGGTCTCCTGCACTGCAGACAGATTCTTTACTGTCTGAACCATCAGCGGTTAAAAAAAAAAAACCAACCTGCCAACACAGAACGCACGGGTTCAATCCCTAATCATGGAAGATCCCACATGCCCCAGAGCAACTAAGCCCTGGGCCACAACTACTGAGCATGTGCTCCAGAGCCTGGGAGCCACAATTACTGAGCCCAAGTGCCGCAACTAATGAAGCCTGTGTGCCCTAGAGCCCATGCTCTGCAACAAGAGATGCTGCTGCAATGAGAAGCAGGTGCACCACAAATAGAGAGCAGCCCCCGTTCAGTTCAGCTCAGTCGCTCAGTCGAGTCCGACTCTTTGCGACCCCATGGACGGCAGCACGACAGGCCTCCCTGTCCATCACCAACTCCCGGAGCTTACTCAAACTCATGTCCATTGAGTTGTGATACCATCCAACCATCTCATCCTCTGTCATTCCCTTCTTCTCCCACCTTCAATCTTTCCCAGCATCAGGGTCTTTTCAAATGAGTCAGTTCTTCCCATCAGGTAGCCCCCTAGCTAGCTGCAACTAGAGAAAAGCCCTTCCAGCAATGAAGACCCAACACAGCCAAAAATAAGTTAAAGAAACAAAGAGCCAATGATAGAAAGACATCTTTCACCAAAAAAGATATACAAATGGTCAATAAGTATACGGGAAAATACTCAATTCAACATCTTTAGCTTACATATTAAAAAACCACAATGAGATACCACTTCACACCCACTAGAATGGCTATAAATAAAAAGACAATATCAAGTGTAAATAGGATTGGAGAAATTGGGACTCTCAAATATTGACAGTGGGAATGTAAAATGATGAGGCTGCTATGGAAAACTGTTTGGCAGCTCCTCAAAAAGTGAAACAGTCCATGTGTGCTAAGCTGCATCCCATACAACCCAGTAATTCCACTCCTAGTTACCAAATCCAAGAGAACCAAAAACATTCACACAGGGCTTCCCTGGTGGTCCAGAGGTTAAGAATCCGTCTGCCAATGCAGAGCACACAGGTTCGATCCCTGATCCAGGAAGATCCCACATTCCTCGGAGCATCTAAGCCTGGCACCACACTATTGAGGCCGTGCACCTAGAGACCATACTCCACGAGAGAAGCCACCACAATAAGAAGCCCAGGCACTGCAACTAGAGAAAGCCCATGTGTGGCAACAAAGACCCAGCAGAGTAAAAAATAATCTAATTAAAAAAAATTCACACAAAAACTTCACAAATGTTCACAGGAGCAATACTCATAATAGCCAAAAAGTGGAAACACCCCAAATGTCTATAAAATGATAAATGGATAAACAAAATGTGCTATATTCGTACACTGGAATATTAGCCGGTGAACTATTAAGTTCTGAATGGAAGTACTACAACAGGGATGAACTCTGAAAACATGCTAAAGCCAAACACAAAAGGCCAAATATAATATGGCTCCATTTACATAAAATGTCCAGGAAAGGCAAATCCACAGTGACAGAAATTAGTTATTGCCAGGGGTTGGGATTAAGGAGGAATGAAGAGTGCCTGCTAATGTTACAAGTGTCTTTAGGGGATGACGAAACATCCTAAAATTGACTGTTGTGCTGGTTGCCAACTTTGTGACTATGATAAAAATCACTGAATAGACTCAAAAATGGTAAATTTATTGTCTGTGAATTCCCTCAATAAACTTTTTTCTTTTTTTTAATCTCATCATCTGGTATTCTGGCCACATTCTCTACTGAAATAGTAAAATCAAAACCCAATTGGGCTTCTGCCCTCTATTTCATTTCAGTTGGAAGTTGCCAACCTGTGTTTTGGCTAAACCTCCCTCTCCCCTCAAGACATCCCTAGGGCAGGGTATTCTTGGTAAGAGAGCTCTCAAAACTGGGCAATTTATTCTGAGGTCTCTCAGTATGGGCAATACTCAAGAAGCTCCTCATACACACTGAACTGGTATACCTATTTAAATTATAGAGATAATATGCGTAAGTTACATGATTTAAATATTTAGTTACTTAGAACTATGATTCCAGTTTTTTTAACTGTACCATGAAATCTCCAGAAAAGGCCCATGTCTAAAGTCTGCGCTTTAGCACTGCCCCAGTGCCCTGCTCACTGCTGGTGTCCCATGTGGTCCTTTGTTTCAGAGGTTGATGATACCCTACCGTGTTCTAAGTGTAGGGTTTATATTCCAGTTCCACCACTTACTTAGCTTTCTGACTCTGGACAAGTTGCTTAAACTGGGAACTTCAGCTTACTCATTCCTGAAATGAGGCTAGCAATACCTGCCAGTTACTATTATTTTAACAAACATAAAAATGCTGGTCACGCTTTGAACACAGCATCTGGCACCCAGAATTGTGAGGCAACTATTGTCTGTATATACTGTCCTTTTAACAGTGCCTTGACTAATTGAAATTAATCAGCTTCCTCATCTGTAAAAATCTACATCAAAAGATCTCTGACAGAATAAAAGGGAAAAGGGGGAAACTCGCTAGCACACAGCAAAGGGCTCAAAAAAACAAAAAAAGTTCCTCCCCCCACCCCCACCCCATCTCTCCGGCTAAGGCAATTTCTTTACCATCATCCTACAGCCTCAATGTGCTCCTAGCTGAAACACATAAATATCGCCGAGCAGCTTCCAGACACATCTGTGGACAAACAAGGGATGAATGTCCCCGACAAGGCCAACCACAACTCCAAGTCAGGGAGCCATTTTTTTCTTTTTCCAGTCAAGAAAACGAAAAGGTGGACGAGATGTAAATGAGTAAAAGACTCCCCTCCAAGATCCCCCTTTTCCTGGGACGGCCGGGTCCCTGCACAAAGACGCGTTCATCACAGGCAAACACCTTCCCTTCTCTCACCCCACCCAGTCAGTCAGCCGGGAGGTGGGTGGAGGTCGGGGTGGGCGTGGGGCTCAGGGCCCAAGACCCGGGCTTGCGGAGGTGGAGGTGGGGGTAATGAGAACTGGACAACCTCAGGGGAGCTAGGCACCGGGATTTTGTGGTTCGAGGGTGGGCAGTCGGGCCTCACCTTCGCTCGCTTGCGCCGGCTGGTCCGTCGCCCCTCCGGTGTCTCTGCGATTCCCGTTTCCATGGGGGTCGCAGACCCAGGCACTGCGGTAGGCCCGGCCTGAGGCCCGGCGGACCCCGGCGGCTCGGCCAGACCGCCCGGGGGGGAGGCCCGCGGGGGCTCCTTCTTGCGGGGAGTGCGCTCTCCAGCCGCCCCCGGCCCCGCCTCGCCAGGGCCGGACAGGCCCGTGGGCGGTGCGGCCACCTCAGAGCCGTTCTCCGCGCCACCCGCTACCCCCGCACCGGCCTCTGACCCGGCAGCCGCCGCCGCCGCCGCCGCGGCCGCTGCAGCCGCTGCCTTCTTCCCAGACAACATGTCGGGCCGCCTGGCCGCCGACGGCCGTAGGGGCCGCCCGGTCTGTCGGTCCGTGGGTCCGGCGCCGCCTCGCCTCACTTCACACTGTCCGCGCGCTGCCAACCGCCGCCGCGTACGCACGCGCTATGCGCGCTCCCGCCGCGCACGGACAATAAGGCCCGGGACGCCCACGGCCCCGCCCTCCCCGCTGCCATAGAGTGGCGTCCTCGAGGCTAGAGCGGCGCCACGGCAAATGGCGCGAAGCTTTCCTAGAGCGTCTCCTTAGCCTTCGGGATCCGTCCTGGGACGGTTCTCATTCTAGGGCTTCTGGGCCAGACTGTACATCCGAAGGCGACCATTTCCTCTAGAGACTTGCATGTATTTATAAATTCATTCGTTCATTTACTCATTCATTAGTTCAACTAGTATTAATATGCTTAATACGTGACAAGAGTTTAAAGTTCTTGCTTTCAAAGAGTTTACAGTCTAGTGAGGGGAAGACACTGAAATATAGCTGGTAGATCATCTTATTTACTATTCATAATTGTCCTGCTTGGATGGATTGGCAAAATCTTGGAGAGCAAATTAATTTCATGGTAATAAAATGGACAAAGGAGTCCAAATGGAATTGTCATTTCTTACTGGACTTTGTTCATACTCTTCCTTCTATATGGACCCTCCTCCTCCCCCACATTTGCACTTTCGCACTTGCACCTCCTCATCCTCCTGTGCTCCCCAACCCCATTGCACATGACAGCTTTCCACTCCAGGTTAATTCTAATGTTTCCATTAGAAACATTACATAACATAACAAACATTGCATACATTACATTACATAACAATCGGCCCAGATTGTTAATCAGTCAGTTTAGTGCTCAGTCGTGTCCGACTCTGTGACCCCATGGACTGCAGCCCGCCAGGCCTCCCTGTCCATCACCAACTCCTGGAGCTTGCTCAAACTCATGTCCATTGAGTCGGTGATGCCATCCAACCATCTCATCCTCTGCCTTCCCCTTCTCCTCTTGCCTTCAATCTTTCCCAGCATCAAGATCTTTTCCAATGAGTCAGTTCTTCGCATCAGGTGCCCAAAGTATTGGAGTTTCAGCTTCAGCATCAGTCCTTCCAATGAATATCCAGGACTGATTTCCTTTAGGATGGACTGGTTGGATCTCCTTGCAGCTCAAAGGACTCTCAAGAGTCTTCTCCAAAACCAGAGTTCAAAAGCATCAGTTCTTTGCCAATCAACTGTCTTTATGCCAACTCTCACATCTATACATGACTGCTGGGAAAACCATAGCTTTGACTATGTGGACCTTTATTGATAAAGTAATGTCTCTGCTTTTTAATATGTTGTCTGGTGGAGGTGATTTATTCTTTTAATTCTTCCAGGAATACTTCACTGACCCAATAATGAAACAGGCCTTGTGTTCTTCAACCTTATTTCCATCAGGTCACAGAGTTGTCGTTGCTTTTCTTACAAGTTTGTGACTTCAAAGTATAATTTTCAAAAAATGATTCCATTTACATGATGTTCAAGGACGAGTCCAACTGACCTCTAGCGATAGAATCTAATCAGTGGTTGCCTGGGATGAGGGTGGGGTTTGACTTCAAAAGAGCGGTAAAGAACTTGCTGGTAGTGATGGAAATGGTTTATATCTTGACTGGAGTGTGTATACAAGAGTCAAAACTCATTGAACCACACATGTAATAGGTATATTTTATTTTATGTTGATTGTATGTTAAAGAAGTTGATTTTTTTTTTTTTTACTAAGTACATAGAAAAAAGTCAAGTTCTGGAAAATTAAGTTCAGGGAAACTAAAACTATGCCATAAAGAAAATCATAGTACAGCATATGGTTCAGCTGTGAGCAACACATGTCCAAAATAACATGAACAATTAATATTATTTTAACCAAAGGGATAGAATTATATTGAGAGAATGGAGAAAAGAGAAAGTTTATGGAGGAGAGGGATGAGAGAGGTTTACAGAAGAGTCAGAATGGGGATAGATGAGGTTCTACATTGAAGCTAAATTCCCATCTTCCATCATAAAATGATAGTATATAATGTTGAAACCAAGTAAGACCCTATGGTACTTGTCCTCCATGTCCTCTACCTGCCTTTTGTCTGAGGAAAATCTTTAGCCAAAGAACAAGTTTAATCAGAGAAGTGAGAAATTGCAGAAACAAAGGAAAACAGTCAAAAGAGACGAAATAACAATAGTTTAGTCATCAAGCAAAGTCAAGTACCTTTAGTTCCTTCTCAAAGGCTATAGATAATACTCTGAGCCATATCCTGTGAGCACTTATGGATTCTGAAATTCCCACTAGGTGGAAGAAGTTAACTACATAATGACCAAATTATAACCAAGACATAAGCTGCCACAGTTCTGAGAATTGGCCTCAAGGAAATGCGAACAAAACAACCATCAACCATAGAACTGAAGACTAATTGTACTTAAGACAATCAAGATGAAACTGGTCACATCACTGATGACCAATTTCAAGATGACTGTCAGAGATGACTGTGCTGTTTCTACATGTAGCCTCCCCACTCAGACTGGCATCGACCCCCCACATTCCCGCCTTGGCGGCATCCAAAAACTTTCCTTTCCAACCTGGCCTCTTTAATGGCTTTTGAGTGGCAAGCAGTCTAACCCCCACTATCATTTACAATGTCAAAACAGAAATTCTGAAATAACAGAATAAGCATACTATTGAGATGTCTTGTTGTTTTTCAGTTGCTCAGTCGTGTCCGACTCCTTGCGACCCCATGGACTGCAGCATGCCAGGCTTCCCTGTCCATCACCATCTCCTGGAGCTTGCTCAAACTCATGTCCATTGAGTCAGTGATGCCATCCAACCATCTCATTCTCTGTCGTCCCCTTCTCCTCCTGCCATCTTTTCCAATGAGTTGGCTCTTCACATCAGGTGGCCAAAGTATTTAAGCTTCAGCTTCAGCATCAGTCCTTCCAATGAATATTCCAGTTTGATTACTTTTAGGATTAATTGGTTCTATCTCCTTGAAGTCCAAGGGACTCTCAAGAGTCTTCTCCAACACCACAGTTCAAAACCATCAGTTCTTTGATGCTCAGCCTTCTTTATGGTCCAACTCTCTTCCCAGATGGTGCCAGTGGTAAACAACCCACCTGCCAATGCAGGAGACCTAAGAGACTCAGGTTTGATCTTAGGGTGGCGAAGATCCCCTGGACAAGGAAATGGCAACCCACTCCAGTACTCTTGTCTGGAGAATTCCATGGACAGAGGAGCCTACTGTCCATAGGGTCGCAAAGAGTCAGACATGACTGAAGCAACTTAGCGCACATGCACACTCACATCCATACATGACCACTGGAAAAACCATAGCTTTGACTAGATGGACCTTTGTCTCCAAAGTAATGTCTCTGTTTTTTAATATGCTGTCTAGGTTTGTCATAGCTTTTCTTCCAAGGAGCAAGCGTCTTTTAATTTCATGGCTGCAGTCACTGTCCACAGTGATTTTGGAGCCCAAGGAAATAAAGTCTGTCACTGTTTCCATTGTTTCCCCATCTATTTGCCATGAAGTGATGGGACCAGATGCCATGATCTTAGTTTTCTGAATGTTGAGTTTTAAGCCAGCTTTTTCACTCTCCTCTTTCATCTTTATCAAGAGACTCTTTAATTCCTCTTCGCTTTCTGCCTAAAGGTGGTGTCATCTGCATATCTGAGGTTATTGATCTTTCCCCCCTGCAATTTTGATTCCAGCTTGTGATTCATCCAGCCCAGCATTTCTCATGATGTACTCTGCATATAAGTTACTATTTAGCTATATCAAGATAAATACCACAAGAAACAGCTAAAAGAATTGGAATTGGTTGTTTGAGTTGTGGAATGTGAGGGTGGGAAGGAGTGAGATAGGAGATGGAAACTTGTTTGTTTTAAACCCTATAGTTCTAGCTGACTAGCTTGCAAGTTTAGTAACTTAGTACCTGTAAACATTTATTTTTTTGGCCAGGCCAAGCTGCTTATAGAGATCTTAGTTTCTCCACCAGGGATCAAACCTATGCCCCCTGCGGTGGAAGCACACAGAGCCCTAATCACTGGACCACTAGGGAATCCCAGTCATTTGATAAAATTTAAAATTTTTGCTAAAGTATTTGCTTGCAACACAGGAGACCTGGATTTGATCCCTGGATGGGGAAGATTCCCTTGGGGAAGGGAATGGCAACCCTCTTCAGTATTCTTGCCTGGAGAATTCCATGGACAGAGGAACCTAGAAGACTACAGTCCACGGGGTTGCAGAGTCAGACACAAATGACTGACTAACAACACACACAAAATTAGATTTTAAAATATGCATATCCTTGGACCCAGCAACTCTACTTTCAGAAAAACATTCTAGGAAAAGGTTTAAGTATATGTACAAAGATTTAACTTCAATGTGTTTATCTCAGGTTCCTACAGGCCCAACAAGTGGCAACTAACTGAATATACTATTAGAATAATATAGTCATTAAAATTTACATTTGAACATAAAGAACTCTCATACAAAATAGTGAGCATATGTCAAAGATGTATTTAACCAATTATTGAGAGGACCAGCAGGTTGATAAAGCTGGTTCAAAGGAAACTATAAGAAAATGACAAATAGTCACTGATCATTAGAACACAGAATGCTGGAATAAGACTGTAAAGTTGAGTAAGAAAAAAAAAGTCCTACAAGGCTGTAAACTGTAAACATTGAGGTTACTTTTTCTATCAGAATTCATTTGCATCTATTTACAAAAAAAATCATTTGCAAATTATCCATTTTTTCCAGAAATAACTAACTCATTTTGAAATTGTAATTCATTTTAAGTTAACATTTAAAAATTGGAGTAAATTACACATAGCATAAAATTTACCATCTTAACCGTTTTAAAGTGTACAGTTCACTAGTGTTGAGTGTTCACATGATTCTGCAAACAGTCTCAAGAATGCTTTTCCTCTTATAAAACTGTATCCATTAAACAATAACTCATCATTCCCCTCTGTCTGCAACCCCTGCCAACCAACGAAATTCTACCTCTGTCTCTGTAAATTAAAAAAAAATTTTTGGACCTGACTGAGTCTTTGTTGCTGCTCACCATCTTTCTCAAGTTTCAGAGGGTGGGAGCTACTTCCTAGTTGCAATGCATGGGCTTCTCATTGGGTAGCTTCTCTTGTTGCAGAGAACAGGCTTAGGTGTGCAGCCTTCAGTAGTCATGGTGCACGGGCTTAGCTTCCCGACAACGTGTAGAATCTTCTCAGACCAACAATCGAACCCATGTCCCCTGCACTGGCAGGCAAATTCTTAACAACTGTCCCACCAGGGAAGTCCTGTCTCTATAAATCTGATCACACTATTTAGCTCATAAGTGAGTCAAACAGCTTTTACTTTTTGCTTATTTCACTTAGCAGAATGTTCTCAAAGTTTATCCATGTGGTAGCATGGGTCAGAATTTCCTTCCTTTTTAAGACTAATCCTACTGTAGTTATATACAACTTTTAAAAATTATTATACCATAAATAAGTTTTATTTATCCATTTGTTTCTTGGTGGATTTGGGGATTGCTTCCACCTTTTAGCTATTATGAGTAATACTGGTATGAATATGGGTATACAAGTATCTCTGCAAGACCCTGGTTTCGATTCTTTGGGATATATCCAAGTGAAATTGCTGGACCAACTTTTCCATCTGACTTTAGAGAGTCAGGGCCCTAATCAATATTAAATCCAATAAAGCAAAAAGTGACCAACAAGTGGGCCAGTTAGACAATGTCCTAGTATGACTGCGAACAAGCCCGCAGAAATCTTTTTGCCTTATTTCCAAGGTTTAATGATTTTTCTTTGCAGTCTCACTCTCTGTGAGGGGAGGGACTCTGTGCTGCTCACCACTTTATCCCCAGCAACTAGGAGGCCCGGGAGTATGGCTGAATGGCTGAGGTATCACAGAGGCCCCCATCACTTGGCTGCTGTGAGGTGTCATGAGATGATGCTTGTGAACTGCCTGTCAAAGTCTGGCACATTGTGGCTGCTTGAGACGTAAGAGGAGTTAATATTATTGTTACGCGGCAGCTGGGGTAGGGGCCAGTTATGACTCAGAGCGGGGAGCAGCCATGACTCCTGTCATGGAGGGCAACTGTCCTAGATGGGGGGACTGAGGCAGGACCTCAGGGCCTGGGTGCTCTCAAGCCATAATGCTGGGGGACCTCATGTCTCTTTTTAGGAGTCTCCATGGGATGCTTGCTTCCTCAGGCACCATAGGAGCATTGATGGCTTGGCTGATCAGCTATAAGCCAGCCTTGTTTGGCTTTCTATTCCTTCTGCTGTTGCTTAGCAACTGGCTGGTCAAGCATGAACTCAAACCTACTCCTCAAGAGCCCCAGCAGGTGAGCAAGAGGGGCCTTAGCTTCCGCTGAGGGTGATGGGAGAGTCACAGCTAGATTGTGGGGTGGGGAAGACAGGGACGGTGTCAGGAGAATTGGGCAAGATGGAGAAATCCAACTCTGGTCTAAGAGTCTTGTTCTGTAGCTCCCTCTTGGGTGATGGGGGACAAACCATTTTCTTCATTAAGCTTCAGTTGCCTCGACTAAAAACTAGGGCCCACCCCAGACTCCCCTACTTCATGTTTGATGACAACAGGCTTTGACAACATTAACAGCTTCTTTATGTATTTTTTAACATTTATTTTTATTTTATTTGGTTGTAATGGGTCTTAGTTGCAGCACATGGGATCCTTAGTTGTGGCATACGATCTCTTAGTTTCAGCATGTGGGATCTAGTTCCCTGACCAGGGATGGAACTTGGGCCTCCTGCATTGGAAGCATGGAGTCTTAGCCACTGGACTACCAGTTCTTAGAAGTCTCTAAGAACTACTTTAAAGGGGGGAAATTAAAATGGGTAAAGTTAAAAACATGTGTAACATAGATACATCTCTCAAACTGAATAATGAAGACAGCAGAAATATATCTAGATTATGACATCTTTTATATAAAGTTAAAAAAACATGCAAAACAATATCCTGCCTTGGGAATGGATACCTTGTACAGTGAAAGTACATTAAGGCAGGATTTCTCAACCTCTGCATGACTGACATTTGGGGCTGGATAATTCTCCGTGATGAGGGGACTGTCTTGCACAATGCAGGAATTTTGTCTGTATCCCTCCACCCACAAGGTGCCATCAGCACTCCTCGCCTTTTGTGACAGCTAAAAAGTTCTCCAGACGTAGCCAAGTGTTCCCAGGGGAGGGCAGAATAGCCTCCCGTTGAGAACTGGTATCAAACGGAGTAAAGATATTCATGGAAAAAATAAATGTCAAATTCAGGATTACGGTTGAGATAAGGTTCAGGGATGGAAGGGAACACTGCAGGAGCAGACTCCACAGAGGACATCAATTACCTTTGTGATATTGTATTTCTTAAGCTGATGTAGGAACATGGGTATTTGTTGTGATATTTACTTTTTCTGCATGTCTGAAGTATTTGATTCTTAAATGGCTTTAAAGACCAGGAATTTGTAGTTGAATACTAAAAGAAAAAAAAATTGTGTTCTTATCAACTGCCTGCAGAGAGGGGTGCGACAGATAAAGATTACAGAGATCAGAGCATTGCATGAGACCACTGAGACTTGGAGGTTTTATGAGGCCCGACTAAATTCTCAGAGAGGCATGCTGGGACTCAGAGAATGAACTTACCGTTGCCGCGGGGAGGACGGGTCGGGGAAGGGATCGTTACGGAGTTTGGGATGGATGAGTACACATTGCTATACTTAAAATGGATAACCAACAAGGAACTAATACATAGCACCGGGAACTCGGCTTAATGTCATCTGGCAGCCAGGATGGGAGGGGAATTTGGGGGGAGATAGACATGTGTATATGTACGGCTGAGTCCCTTTGCTGTCCTCTTGAAACTATCACAACATTGTTAATTGGTTATACTCCAATACAAAATAAAAAGATTTTTTTTTTAAACAGGCATGTTGGGAAAAGCACAAGCTCTAGAGAGAGACATGTTTGGGTTAAGGATTTTACGTCCTCTGTAAATGTAATGGGCCGTTTCACTTATTCCTATGAACCAAAGGCAGCCCTAGGTCCTGCGAGTTTGGGTGATGCTGACAAAGGGCCATTTCCTCCCTGGGCTCCATTCTTTCACTCATGAGATGAGGGAAAGATGCTGGTCATGAAATTGACCAAGATCATGTTTGTAACTCACCTGGCATGGGAAAGGATGACCATTATTAACCAACTTTTCCTCTGTTTGTGGCCATGGGGAGTTTAGGAAGAGGCCGAGCAATCCAAGACTTGCGAAGCCAAAACCAACGGCAAATGCCTAAACACGAAAGAAGTGGAGAGACTGCACGCCTGCTTTGCCCTCCAGGACAAGATCCTTGAACGGCTTATGTTCAGTGAAATGAAACTGAAAGTCTTAGAAAATCAGATGTTCATCGTATGGAATAGAATGAATCACCACAAGCAGTCAAGCCGACGGCGGACTTTTCCAGCAGGAAAACACAGAATGCGGAGGCGGGAGTCTCTTTTCTCCATCCTCTCTGATTGCACTTCCAATTCCCCCTAATGAGGCCGCAGAGACTGCGGTGGGCTGGCCTCTTCTGATGTTATCTTTCCTCAGTAAAGCCCAGTCAGAGATTACTGAATTTTCTTAGTGAATCACAGTGGACAGGACAATTGGAGGCAGAGAGATCGGTCGCCTCTAGAAAAGAAATCTGTACTCACCAGGGCAGCCAGATTGCACCTTCTGACACAGCCTGCTGGGGGCTCTCAAATTCAGCCCTTCCTCTCTTTCCACCTTCGCCCTGGTCCAGGGCCCTCTCTTCCTGTTCACCTTGAGTCTTATAACTGCCTCCCCAGTGCGGTCCCAGCCTCCAGTCACCCCTCCCGCTGGGCTCAGAGGCCACAGCCAGCCCTGCCAAGCACCGCTCTGAGACCGTTCACTACCTTTTCTTGGGCCAATGCCTGGCCACAGTTGACAGAACTCCTCACCATGGTGTTCAGGCCCCCCATGACCTGACCCCCTTCCCAGGCTTCTTTCCCACTTTCTCCCTTTTGCCTGCTTTTTTCCCTATACCAGAGTATCCTAAGCATCAATCACTAGTATGCTACCTTTGTATTTTTTCCAGAGCTGTGATCCACCTGAATGTTTACCTCAATATTGTCCCTTTGAGTCGACAGTTTTTTCCTTAATAAGTTTACCTGTAAAGGAAAATACTAATACAAATAAATAATTTATCTGTAAATTAAAAAACAGTACCATTTGCTTGAAATAGAACCTGTCAAAATAAAGACAATTAAAAGAGAATGATATTATGAAGCTCCATCCAGAGCTTAGTCGTTCACTTGAAGGCCTGAATCAGTAAAATTTGGGTTAAAAAGGGAGTTTAGCAAGTGTTAGAGCTGGAAAGATATGCAGCCCTCAGCTGAGACGTTTCTCCAAAAAGGAGAATTGGGAAGGAAGTCTCTACCTTGCTGTGTGATCCAGTGTGACTTAGTGCCCTGTGGGTATCCCACTTAAAATCATCTCTCTGGAACTTCCCTGGTGGTCCAGTGGCTAAGACTCCATGCTCCAAATGCAGGGGGTCCAGGTTCAATCCTTGGTCAGGGAACTAGACCCCACATGTTACAACTAAGAGATCACATGCTGCAATGAAAATCAAAGATCCTGTGTGTCACAACTAAGACCTGGCATAGCCAAATAAATAAATATTAAAAACATTGTTGGTAAAAATAAATCAATGCAGTAAGTCATCTCTCTGCCCAAAAGTTTCTTGTGCTCGCCTCAGTTGAGGTTGACCAGCCATCCCCCAAATGCAGTCACATCTTTGCTCACGTGGTTTCTTCCCCTGGAATCCCTTATCTTCCCCTTTCTACTGTTACAATTTTACGCTTCTTCCACTGTGGCCACCTGCAGAAAGCTTCCCTCAACCGAGCTGTAATGAATCTCTTTCCTTAGTCTTCTCATGGCATTTAAAAAAAATTCTTAAAACATTTATTTTTGGCTGTGCTGGGTCTTTGTTACTGTCTCTAGTTGCGGCAAGCGGGGGCAGCAGTGGGCAGGCTTCTCACTGTGGAGGCTTCTCTTGTTGCAGAGCGCAGGCTCTACGGGCGTAGGCTTTAGTAATAGTGGGTCATGGGCTCAGGAGTTGTGGCGCGCAGGCCCCGTTGCTCTGCGCCACGTGGGATCCTCCCGGACCAGGGACTGAACCTGCGTCACTTACTGGCAGGTGGATTCTTTACCACTGAGCCACCAGGGAAGCCCCTCTTACAGCCTTTTATCTGTAATGCTACCGTTCACTTCAGTTCAGTTCAGTCGCTCAGTCGTGTCCGACTCTTTGCGACCCCATGGACTGCAGCACGCCAGGCCTCCCTGTCCATCACCAACTCCTGGAGTTTACCCAAACTCATGTCCATTCAGTCGGTGATGCCATCCAGCCATCTCATCCTCTGTCGTCCCCTTCTCCTACTGCCCCCAATCCCTCCCAGCATCAGGGTCTTTTCCAATGAGTCAGCTCTTCGCATGAGGTGGCCAAAGTATTGGAGTTTCAGCTTCAATATCAGTACTTCCAATGAACACTCAGGACTGATCTCCTTTAGGATGGACTGGTTGGATCTCCTTGCAGTCCAAGGGACTCTCAGGAGTCTTCTCCAACACCACAGTTCAAAAGCATCAATTCTTCAGCACTCAGCTTTCTTTATAGTCCAACTCTCACATCTATACATGACCACTGGAAAAACCATAGCCTTGACTAGATGGACCTTTGTTGGCAAAGTAATGTCCCCGCTTTTTAATATGCTGTCTAGGTTGGTCATAACTGTTCTTCCAAGGAGCAAGTATCTTTTAATTTCATGGCTGCAGTCACCATCTGCTGTGATTTTGGAGCCCCCCAAAATAAAGTCTGACACTGTTTCTCCAACTATTTGCCATGAAGTGATGGGAGCAGATGCCATGATCTTAGTTTTCTTTTTTTTTTTTTGAGAGTTGGAGAACTCAGGTTTATTACCCTGGCGGGCCCAGAGGAGTTAACACTCCAAGCTCTGAGCCTTAGTTTTTTGAATGTTGAGTTATAAGCCAAATTTTTCACTCTCCTCTTTCACTTTTATCAAGAGGCTCTTTAGTTCTTCTTCATTTTCTGTCATAAGGGTGGTGTCATCTCCATATCTGAGGTTATTGATATTTCTCCCAGCAATCTTGATTCCAGCTTATGCTTCATCCAGTCCAGCATTTCTCATGATGTACTCTGCATATAAGTTAAATAAGCAGGGTGACAATATACAGCCTTGACATACTCCTTTTCCTATTTGGAACCAGTCTATGTCCAATTTTAACTGTTGCTTCCTGACCTGCATACAGGTTTATCAAGAGGCAGGTCAGGTGGTCTGGTATTCCCATCTCTTTCAGAATTTTCCACAGTTTATTGTGATCCACACAGTCAAAGCCTTTGGCATAGTCAATAAAACAGAAATAAATGTTTTTCTGGAACTCTCTTGCTTTTTCAATGATCCAACGGATGTTGGCAATTTGATCTCTGGTTCCTCTGCCTTTTCTAAAACCAGCCTGAACATCTGGAAGTTCCCAGTTCATGTACTGCTGAAGCCTGGTTTGGAGAATTTTAAGCATTACTTTACTAGTGTGTGAGATGAGTGCAACTGTACAGTAGATTGAGCATTCTTTGACATTGTCTTTCTTTGAGATTGGAATGAAAACTGACCTTTTCCAGTCCTGTGGCCACTGCTGAGTTTTCCAAATTTGCTGACATGTGTGCAGCACTTTCACAGCATTGTCTTTCAGGATTTGAAATAGCTCAACTGGAATTCCATCACCTCCACTAGCTTTGTTCATAGTGATGCTTCCTAAGGCCCACTTGACTTCACATTCCAGGATGTCTAGCTCTAGGTGAGTGATCACACCATCATGATCATCTGGGTCATGAAGATCTTTTTTGTACAGTTCTTCTGTGTATTCTTGCCACCTCTTCTTAATATCTTCTGCTTCTGTTAGGTCCCTACCATTTCTGTCCTTTATTGAGCCCATCTTTGCATGAAATGTTCCCTTGGTATCTCTAATTTTCTTGAAGAGATCTCTACCATAGAATGTATCACAACCTGCTTGTACAGATAGCTATACTTCCCCACCACTCTTCAACTAGATTATGGACTCTTTGAAGGCAAGCACAGCATCTTGTACATCTTGTATACCTACCCATAGCACCTAACACCATGGCTAGCATACAGTCAGTGCTCATTACATTGAAGGAGGAAACCGACAGAGCTAGGCTCCGTCTTAGGCCAGGCTGGGAACATTAGGCCACACGCATGGTCAGCCTCCCAGTGGACTCTGAACTTTGTGCCCTGTGTCTATAAAAATGGCATATCAATGGAAAACCAGACCCCCTGGATAAAAAAGCCTCAGGACTTTTACTTGGACTTTCCGTTGTTTAAAAGAATATGCTAATTATCTCTGTAACAGAACAAAGTGGTAGATTCCATTAACATGTATTGGGATATGACCACAGGCCTATTGATAAATATCCACTGTTTATCTAGTCTTGTGACACATGAATCATGGGTTAACTTCGATCAAATCTCTCTTTTACCTTGTCCAGACTAGTTTCAAGGAATTTGGGGAGGTGGGTTTGAGCAAGTACATTTAGGGTATATAAGGTTTTCACAAAAACTGGTTGGGGTCCTTGGCTAAGAGGAGACTCTGCCTCAGGCCCGCTGGTGTAATAAACTGCACTCCACTATCTGCATTGTCCTTCTGAGTGAGTTTGTTTCCCGGAACGCGTGGCTACAACAACATAACAAGTATGACTGTTGATCACAGTCGTGCATGTCCTGACATTTTCTTTGCCCTTTCATTTTATGATGACTTTCCTAAATCCCATTTTGTTTAAGAGCAGGATCCCTGGAGCTAAACTCCCCGGTGTCAGATTCCAACTCAATCAACTCTTTGCTGTGTGATTCTGGACAACAAGTAAGTTAAGTGCCATACTTTGGTTTCCTCAATTCTAAGATGGCCTCATCAATTGTCGTGAGGATTAGATACATTATCACAGGTCTTTGCTCAAATGATCCCTTCCTAGTGAGGACTAGGCCACCCTATCTAAAATCGCACCCTCCCCTGTGTCTTGGCATCTTCCACTTGCCCCTCCAGGCCCACTCTCCATCCTTCTGCCTTTTCTGCCAGGGAGTCAACCTGCATCATCAGGTTCCTTTGCTCCTGGTCTTCCAGTTGAGTTTGGCTGAGAGGGAAGGCTGGCAGAGGATGCGAGGGCAGGAGTGGGTTGGGGTGTTTATTGTCTCGTGTGGGGTTGCCTGGGGCTGGTTTAGGGCTGGCTGGGTAATCACAGAGGATGCTCTCTCTACAAGACCTTCTTCCCATTCCCTTCTGGTCCAAGGGCAGTAGTGTTCCCCTAGTTACCAGCCCAGGGGTACTGCACCGCCTTGTAGCTTCTCTATAGCCTGTTCACATCTTTGTAAACAGTCCATTTTACATAGCTTCATGAGCCACCGCTAATGGTCTTGCTGCAGGGCCAAGTCTTTGAACCACCCAGAACTGGA